ATTTTGACTGCTAATTTTTAAATTATTAGTTATAATTTCACTTTTATAGTGCACCTTTCACATTTTAAAGGAATTAAATTCAGATAGGATAATACTATTAACAATCTAATTATTTATTTAGTCATTTTATTTTTTAATCATGACTTTATGCCATGACATGTGAAAGCATTTATCACAACATTGATTTGCTCTTGATCTGCTTCTATTTTTCTTTCTTGATTTTTCTTTTTTGTTGGGTCCTTTAGCTTTGTTTGGATCTAATTGGTATGTCCAGGATACGATTCAATATATAAAAATATCTCAAATATAAATAATAGTATGTCAAATTCCAAAAATATTTATACAAGTTCAGGAAAATGTTGTGCATCACTAGGAGCTTAAGGTGTCCCTTTTTATATTTGAAGTGTGTTTTTAGATACAGAAAATATTCAAAAATGAAAATAAAAAAATAATATATGATGTCAATTGTAGTGGTTAAACTTAACTCATTTGCATTATTAGTGGACTAAATTAAGCATTGATAGAGCAAATGATATTATAAATTATGCCCAAATAACTGCAATTATGGGAGTTATCAGCAGTGTCTTTTTAAAATAGTATAAGATATATGAACTTAAATGATCTTGCCTTTAAAAAAAATAGACAGAGGAAATGCCACCTAATTGAGGGTAGAGGAGGCCCTCATGCTTAAAGAATATTTATAATTATCTCATCACAAAAAATAAAATAAAATAAAATGAATGAGAACATGATCTACTTGACTAATTGTTTGGAGTTAAATGATTTTGACATTTGCTTATAATTAAGTTAAATAGACAAATTTAGAAGTATAATAAATGTTGAAGAGAGAGTATGCATAGGGTGCTTCTTGATTCATTCATTATTCAATACACAATGTTTAGCCACTTAATATATTATTAATGTTTTTCAATCAAACTATATTCTCACAAATTGTAGTTGATTTTTCATTTCATGTAAATAAAAATGTGTCTATTTTTATTATATATTTTGTCATATTTGAGATATATAAAACAAGTAAACCTAAATGCAAGTTTTAGTTAGACTTATAAAGATGAAAATAGATAACTAAGTACCTTACAACATTACTTAAAGAACTAAAATGTAACTTTTTATTAAAAAAAACGTAGAGAGACACTAACACCCATTATTGTCAATGCATTTTAAAATAATTTTTTTTAAAAATTATTATTTATTGATCCTTAAATAGTGATCTTAAAAAAATCTTATAAAAATATTTTAAACAACTTTTAAACATCTAAAAACCATCAACAATATTCTAAAAAATTGTGATTTCTCTAAAATATAATTCCTAAAATTCATAATTTAAAAAAAAAAGTTTGACTGACCTTTAACTTTAGGATTGAGTTTAAATATTTAAAAGCAGTAAACTTTTATTAAAAAATAAATTATTTAATTTTAATGTTTAATCTTTTTAGGGTTAAGGTTAATAGAAAATAAAATTTAAATGTAATATTGTAAATACTTTTAGTGTTGTATTTTTTTTAACTAAAATTAAAATTTTATTTCAACAATGTATATCAACTTTTATGATATGAGTTACCAAAATAAAACATTTAATTAATAAAAGATAACAACAAAATACTTATAAAATTGCACTTCAATTTAATTTTTAACAAAGTAATGAAACAAATTATACCTACCAAAGTGCCTCCAACAAGATACTTTTGTTACATGCACAAATTAAAAAAAAATGTTATTATTAAGAGTTTTTATTAACTTTAACCCTTAAGATTAAGTTTAAATATTTAAATGCAATAATTTATATTAAAAAATTATATTAAATTTATAAAAATATAATAAATATAAATTTTTAATATTTTTTTATTATTAACACCTTAAATTTAACATGTCTAGCTTCGTATTATACAAATATTTTAGTGTACCTAAGAGCCCACTCTATATATAAGAATTTATATAATAAAACTTACATACATTACTAAATTTAGTTCATTAATGACAATGAATGTTATAACTTTAAATAAAGATATATTATTTATCAAATTTTTATCCTATATCTTTGAACACACATTGAAAAAAACTGCGTATTAAAAGCCATAGTCTGGTGGAACTATAAAACAAAGCCGTGAAAGAGAATAAGGAAAAATAAAAAGAAAACAAGAAATGGTTTGTTTTTGACTTGTGACAGTGTTCCTTTCATTTGATTCCTCTTTACATAATTTGCAATCAAACTCAAAATTTTTCATTTTGTTCAAACCTTCTAAACTCAAAGCCCGCTGGAGAAGACGGTGTAGATGTTATACAGCGGTTTTTTTTTTTTTTTTTTACCTAAATACAGTTTTTAAAATCAAACATTACACATATGTCCTAAATTGCATTGAAAAATTATACATTTATTTGTTAAGAAGGTAATTATAATTAAATTTTTTATTTTTAAAATATTCTTATACATAGTCGATTTAAAAATTAATAATCAATTTTTGTACAAATGAATTTTAAAAATTAAAATAAAATCAATTATAATCAACTTTTACAATTATAATCGACTTCTATATAATTTAAAATAAAATATTTTTATAATTTTTTTTAATTTAAGGTGTATTAGCAATATTTAATTTTAAATATAAAAAATTCTAAGATAAGTAATTGGTTTTTTATCACAATTAAATGTAATAAATGTGTTTATTAAATTATATTTTTAATTTAATTTTAAAAAGTTAAAATAACTCTTTACTAATTAATGTACATATTTAATGATGCTTTTGTTATTTGATATCTCTTTTAAAATTTTAATTATTAGTTAAAATTTATAAAAAATAAGAATATATGAATCTTATTTTTAATAATTTATAATTTTAATATAATTATTTATTCTCTAATACATTTTTAATATACTTTTGATAATTAATTACAATTTATTAAAATTACAAAATACAAAAAAATCATTAAATTAAAAATGAAATTCAAATATTTTTTTTGTAATTTTAATAGATTTTAATCGATAATTAAGAGCTAGTTAAAAAAATATGTTATTAGTTTTTTTTTAAAACAAACTTGTTAACTTAATTAATTTTCAACGTATTTAACTTTTTTCTTAAAGAAGAGGAGTTTTATGAAAATATTTTCTCTTGTAGTAAATTAATATTAATATTTACGTTAATATTAAGGGACAGAATTCGAATTCGTATAAATACAGTTACAATAAAATTTTATTAAAAAGCTTTATCAGTCATGATAATTTTATTCAGTTTGATTCAAATTAATCAAGTATATATATCCAATATAGTATCTGTTATCATTGGCAGTAGACGAAAAAAGTTTAGTATTTAGTATCCTTGGGAATTTTTTATTACATTTAATTAAATTTTATCTATTATAAGTTAATCATTCAATTTATTTATCTTAAAATCATAAAATAAAAAATATTATAAGATTTATTATATAGGGTTGTCTATTGTGTACCTGCTAATTGGTATCCTTCAATTATTGATGAAGAATAAAAATAAAAAATATTTTTTTAATTCTTTAAATTTTTTATTTTTATTTTAAAAATTTACTTTAATGCTTTAATTATCAAATATGTTAAATATTTTTTTATTAACTTCTGTTAAAGATTTTTTCATTTTTTTGCAATTCTCTTCCAGCACAGTATCTTCTTCTTACTCTTCTTTGGCCTATGACGTCTCATTGTTTTGGCTTCCACAGTATCTTCTTCTTCCTCTCTGCAATTTGCTCATGTTTTACAAGTTTTGGTTTAATGTCTTTAACTTTGCACAGACTCAGAGGCACCATGGCAGTGTCTTTGAAGAGGTTCAGTTTAGAAGTGATTTTGAAGAGTATAATGCGAATGCGACACATTTGTGGGTTGTGCCTCCTATTATTCTTTTGTCGTTGTCGTTTGAAGCATGGATTGGTTGGTTCAAAAAGTAGATATTCTGTCGTTTTGAAGCATATGAAGTCTGGTGCTGATCTGATGGAAGAGGAGGAAGATAATAAAGTGAAGGTAAGAAGAGGAACTAGTGAAGGAAGAATAAATATATATGACAGAAAAAAGATAAATGACTTTTTTCAAAATTAAGAATAAATTGTAACTTTTTAAAGTTAGAGAATAAAATAAAGTATACCTTTTTCAATAAAATAATAAAAGTTTCCAAAATTTTATTATATTAAACTCAAATTATTTTTTTAGCACAAACTAAAAAATATAATTATAATTTCATGACTTTTAAAGTTTATTAATTTTTAACGTATATATTTAAGATTTGTACATTAATTTTTCTTAAACTTAAAATTGTATTTATAACATGAAAATAATGCAACTTAATTTTTTTAATAATATTATTAATATATTTTAAAAAAATTAATTTAAATATACAGACAAAGTAAAAATTATTCACTTTATTATCAAATGATCATGAATTATTATATAAGTAATAATTATTAACATTTATAACAATTGATTTAAAAATTATATTGTTCTAATTAATTGATATCTTAAAATTAAACTCTCATTTTAAATAATCGATAATATAAAAATATTATTTTATAAATTCTTATATTTTACGTGTACGAAATCTAATTTAAATACAAAGTATAGCAAAAGACAGAAGAGAAGGAGAGAACAGAATAATGTAGCCAGTGATATGAATAAAGAAAAAGTAAAAAGAAGAAGAAGAAGATAAAAGCACTATTTAAATTTATTAGAATTAAAATATATTTTTATTTTGTTCTCAAAAATTTTTCAAGTTGAGTACTTTTTGTGTGTTGGTAACTATTAATTGACATGATTAACTAAAAAAGTCTAGTGTATCGATTTATGTAAAATGACATTTAAGAGAAATAAAAACTCTCATATGAACGGTTCAACCAAAGCTTAAGCTTTTGGTACAAAAACTATGGTCCCCAGTTTGAGGAAGGACTTGCACCCTTTCTTTTCTCATCCACACACTCAAAGAGCAACTTGCGTGGCCTCATCATTCCAACATGTTAGCCACATTCATAGTTGTGGTTGTTGTGAAACAACAGTGTACCATACTCTTGTTCTTTTGTTTCTCACTTTCCCACGTTACACGCCTTTGTTAAGCACTCTCTTTCTTCTCTTCACAAAAAATCACTTCTTTCTCTCTCCAATAACGTCCCATTTCCCACTATAGCATGTCTCTAACCATCAAACTACACCTTGCTTCTCACCTCAACCTCAACAACAACCATGCAAACAAGGACAAGTTAAGCCACAACAACACTTGTTTAAACTACAACAAGATTCGTCCTAAACCCATTTACGCCACCAACCCATTAATCATCACCACGTGTAAAGTGAAGCCAAGAGTGCAGTGTGGTTCTTCTTGTGGTAACATGGTGATCAAGAGTTCCTTGATTGAGCCTGATGGAGGGGCATTGGTGGATCTTGTGGTGCCAAAGAGTCTGAGTGGTTCTAAGACACTGGAGGCTGAGTCACTGCCCACGGTGCAGCTCACGAGGATTGATCTTGAGTGGGTGCATGTTATAGGGGAAGGTTGGGCTAGTCCCTTGAAGGGGTTCATGAGGGAGGATGAGTATCTGCAGAGTTTGCATTTCAATTCCCTTAGGATGAAGGATGGTTCTGTGGCGAACATGTCACTTCCCATTGTGTTGGCCATTGATGATGAGGCTAAAGAGAGAATTGGGTCATCTTTACATGTGGGGTTGCTTGGCCCTGATGGGGATCGTGTTGCTATTCTTCGAAGGTTAGTGTTTTTTTTCTTTTCTGATTGGTGTTTTCTTGTCGATTGATCAATTATTTTGCTGTATGAATTTTAGTGATTACAGTTGTAAAAAGGAACAAATACTAGATTTATGGTACCTCCATTTGAATCCCTAATGAGAAATTAACATTGATATGCTGATTTGAGTAAATTTATGAAGCCCCCAGCAAAGGGTCTTGGTTCAGTTGGTTATTGTATCAATGTAGCTAAGAGTACTTAGGTTTGGTTTCTGCTGCCAGAAATTAGCTTTGGTAGATTATTTTAATTATCAATGTAACCATGGCTGAGGCTTATGGCATGCCCTGCCACTAGAATGGGGTGGCCTCGCCTCCTGCTCGCTTCCTTCTCCACTATCTACTGTAAAATTGAACCGTGAGCTTTAGGGAAGGCCGAGTGAAAAGCTTAGTCAATGGAACAATTCACAAAAATTATATGTTGGACTTTCTTGGTCACAAAAATTATTGAACTATCTTTGTCAAATTACACATATTTTTCTTATGTTAATATGTCCCTCTAGTTGGAACATATAGATTCAAAATGCCCAACTTGCTGAGCAAGAATGGGAATGGTTTCCATCTCAGTCCTCTAGTGAAGATATTGATGAAATGCATGTAAGTGGCATTGTGTTGTGGAGGTGTCTCTCGTGTTTGCACTTGTTAGCAGACAGTATGGCAGGCCAAAATAGTATGTTTGGTGTGTTTGTGAAAGATTTGGAAGATATATGGAATGCTGATTGGTTCTTAAAAAAAATGCATGTAAATGGAAGTTGAAACAGCAGAAGTAGATTTTAATCTTTAGTTACAACTTACAACCAAATGGCTACGGAATGATTTCAAATGGGCACTAGTTAAGTTAGTAGCTGTCATGTGATCTGAAACATCACTATTTAGTATCCATTATTTAGAGACATGGATTTGAGTTTGAAGGGTCTTACCAGCATTGCTGTGAGCGAGGCTTTCCACTTTCCAGCACTTAATAAAAGAGCTGGAGAGCTGCTCATATTGCTCCTTTGAATGATACTGGCTATGGATGGAATATGAACATTGTGGTCTGTGTGATCAAATCTCACATTTAGAGAAAATGTCAATCATTGACTGATTCACTTTGTTTTTCACTGCCTTGCTGACATGAAAGGTCTTGGCTTCATTTTTCAAATTTCGGGAGGCAAGAAAGTGTTATTGAGCTTCCTCTCTCGCTACCAAGTTATGAACTTTGATCTGATTTGGGTGTGACTCAAAGTTCAAATTTGAAATGGCACATCACTCCAAGGCTCGAAGCATGTTTAATTCTCATAAAGAACTGGTTGATTCTATTTCCTGTCTTGCCAGTGAACTCCTTGGCTGCACCACAAGTTTATATTGGAAATTACCAAATATGACCATCCCCCAAAGCCTTCATCTTTATGAAATATGGTGTTACATTCGATCCCTCTTGTTAAATCTTTGCCTTTGAGGTCTATAAACAATTTTCTAGATGTGTCTATACAGTAAACACTATCATGAAAACCTTTTGACAGTAAATTAAGAGGCCAAGAGATTACCATGTAATTGTATTTATACTGGGCATGCTTGTCTGCGGAAGTTTCATCAGGTTCTTTAGGCTTTGTTGGCGAGTTGCTTTTAGGAAAGGAAGCGAGGGAAGGGAAAGGTCTATTTTATGATAACCCTTGTTTGGGAGTTTTTAAATGTGAGGGAGGGTTTTATAAATCCTCCAAAACCTCCACAAACTCATGCTTTTAAGTTCCCAAAAATTGGGAAGTTTTTGTTAATCTTCCTTCTCCTCTCCTCCCCTTCCCCCTCAAATCCTTCCCTTCCTTCTCCTTCCAAACTCAAAAAAAGCCTTAAGCATCTAATCTACAAATCCATATTTGTTTATGGCACACAGTTTATTCATGTTTTCCTCTCATATAAATGGCATATTTTCTCCTTTGAGCAGGTCAAAAAACAAAGGAGTGCCGGGGTTATATGAGGAATTAAGGGAATAAGGTGACTGAAAAGTGATGAAGGGTCATTATGTTTGGTGGGTTTCTTAAGCCTGAATCATTCCCGGCAAATGATTTAAGCTTAGATAAATAAATTTGAGAATATGCAAAGCAAGCATGCTGCTCTGATACTTGATAAAACTGAACAATAAGCATTGTCACCTGTGTGTTATGATTGTACAAGACTGATTTTATGCAGCTAGAAACCTGGATTGAAGGCTAAGTAAAATACTGAGTAAAGTAAAATTGTTAAAAAAAAACTATTGACCTATCTTAAATTATGTCTTTTCACATGTCTCACATGGTCTTACTTGGAAGTTGGACGACCAAAGTTCCTCCTTTCAGTTTTCAGTCTTCTGTTTTTCTTTAACTGTAAACTTTACAGTCCTTGACTGAGCTTAATGGCTATGTGTAATTCATGTATCCAAACTCACCTAGCAGGATAAGGCTTTTGCTGTTGCTGAAAGTCTTAATGTCATTTGGACATTCTTTTGAGAATAAGATTATTGAAGTGCTCTGGCTATCTAAATAAATTTCTGTCATGGTGTCTCTTGGCTTTCATTAACCATTAAACTGTTATGCAGTATTGAAATTTACAAGCATAACAAGGAAGAAAGAATAGCTAGAACTTGGGGTACAACTGCTCCAGGATTGCCATATGTTGAGGAAGTGATTACTCCAGCTGGAAATTGGCTTATTGGAGGAGATTTGGAAGTTCTAAAACCTATCAAATATAATGATGGTCTTGATAACTACAGACTCTCTCCCAAACAACTTCGTGAAGAATTTGACAAACGTGAAGCAGATGCAGTTTTTGCATTTCAGTTAAGAAACCCTGTGCATAATGGTCATGCCTTATTAATGAATGATACTCGTAAGCGCTTATTGGAAATGGGCTACAAAAATCCAATTTTATTGCTTCATCCTCTTGGAGGTTTCACCAAGGCTGATGATGTTCCCTTGGATGTCAGGATGGAGCAACATAGCAAGGTAATTCCCATTGTTCTTCTCATAAGGCTGAGTAATATAATAATGTGCATGTGCTATAACAATACACACACACAGAAATGCCCTTGGAAATGACTGAACTGTCATTCAATTTCAGCAATGTATTCGTTTGTAATTGCACAATCTATGGAATTTTATCCTATCATGTTCTTTGTTTCTTCTTAGGTCCTAGAAGATGGAGTTCTTGATCCTGAGACTACCATAGTTGCAATTTTTCCATCACCAATGCATTATGCAGGTCCTACTGAAGTACAGTGGCATGCCAAGGCACGGATAAACGCAGGTGCCAACTTCTATATTGTTGGTCGCGATCCTGCTGGTATGGGCCACCCAACTGAGAAAAGGGATTTGTATGACCCTGATCATGGGAAAAAGGTGCTCAGCATGGCTCCTGGTCTGGAGAAGCTTAACATTTTGCCATTTAGGGTAAGTAGTATTACTTTACCCATGGATTGTTCTTGCTCCTCTATGAGATACGTTCTTTTAACAGTATCTTCTACACTATGCTTTGCTTCATATTTTAAGCAATGTTTCACTGAAGTTAATATTTGGTCGATCAAATTGGCTGCTTAGAGATGCATACCATGTCTCTTATTATTTGAGAAGGGAAATGACTAAAATTACTTGTTCATTATTACATAAATTTTTTCTCATAAGTTTAATATACTACCAAAATTATGCTGCTGAACTGTTTCATTTTATGATTATTTAGAGCACGCTTAAGTCTAATGATATCTGTTGCCTTGTTTGGCATTTTTAAAATACAGGTGGCAGCTTATGACACTAAGGAAAGTAAGATGGCATTTTTTGATCCAACCCGTGCTAAAGATTTCCTTTTTATATCTGGAACCAAGGTATTTGATTCACTATCATTCAATCAGGTGTTTCAGATTCCAATTCCATCAACCTTAAATTTGGCATTTGTCAACAATACTTGGTTTTTAATTACATAGCTTTGTAGTCAGTGTATAATATTAGGTTACAATGTCAGTATCCTGGTTCCTGTATCTTACACTCTTGCTAGCTGCAACTTAAACAAAAGTAATTTGTCTGTATGCTACTGAGTTGGAACTTGGAAAAATTAAAGAAAGGCAGCAATATTTGTATTTAACTCAAATTTTGCTTTTGATTTCAAATTTATATATGATTAAAGTATGTTAAATACAAAATATCAATAAGATGTTGGTTCCTAACGACATGATTATATATATGCCTAAAAGAGACATAACTAAAGTGAATAACATGCATCATCAAGTTGGATTCCGAATTCCTTTGACAATTGGACAACTGTTCTTTGCAAATTTTTATGTTTTCTTTGGTGATTTATATTTCTAGATGCGGGCTTATGCAAGAAGTGGGGAGAATCCACCAGATGGTTTTATGTGCCCAAGTGGATGGAAGGTTCTTGTCAAGTATTATGAAAGCTTGCAAGCAGAAGAGCCATCACAGCAACCTGTGCTATCTACTTAACAAGAACTAGAAGTTTTTCATTAATTGATTCCATAGAAATAGTGTTGAAAATACAGTTCTGGGAGTGCCAATTTTTATGCATGGTCTTCCAGCTTCATGATCAAGATTTAAGCAATGCGTAAGCATATTTGAATTCTTTGTAACATATTGAATTATCTTGTCTTTTTCTTGTGAAATTACCATGACTAAAGAATTTGTTGTGGTGTGTTAGGCATAATTGCAGATTAAATCCTTTATCTACTATTAGACTTCACTGTATGATCAGTCCAATATAAGGTTTAGAGAAATTTGTCAAATCCAAGGTGTTTATGGCTAGAATGTGGCCATGAGAACACAGGACAAAGAGGAGACAACAAGGACAAGATAGTGAGGTGTATATATATTACACCAGTATAAGTTATACCCATTCTTGCATTGTTTAATAATTTTTTATTGGATAATTTAATCTTAAAATCAATTGTTAGATTTAAAGTTCTAATCACATGAATTATATATGCAACATTTTAAATCAATTCAAAATTATTTGATATCTTATTTCATATACATTAAAATTAACATAATTTATATTTTAAAAATATATAAAAATAAAGACTATTTAATTCTATATTTTTTGTTGAATTTTGATAAACTTTAACTCCGATAGTCAAGGAAATAAATAATTATAATTGAATGGTTGGATTAATGAAAATCATATTTTATGTAGCTATTGATGGCGTAAAAGTGAGTGTCATTTACATTGGTATAGTTTGATTTTTTTTATATTTATTTTTTTATTTTGTGTGAGGGAAATTTTAAATGCTTTATTTGGATATTTGCTATAAAATATAAAAGTTGTGAATTGTGTTCCTACTCCTTATAACACAATGCAATTCTCCATAGCCCTACGGCCCTACATGGCTTGCTGATATGATTTTGTCACTTAGATTCTACCATAGATTTTCTAAGCCATGCTTACTTCTGCTTGGCAGAGCCACATAAGGTGTGCAGTTGGGAAGTTTTTTTTTTTTGACAAATCATTTATTTATTCATATTACATAAATTTCATATTCACTGTGTCATGTTTAGGACATTGTATAGTATAAAGGCAAATAAGATAAGGTTTGATAAATATATAAGGTGTTAGTTTTCTAATTGATCTAACGCTTAATGTGTCATGCATAATTATGTTTATGTAACTATATTTTTGTAACAAAACTTACAAAATTTATTAAAATTAAGTAAGAAAAATGAGATATTATAGCAGGAGAATGATGACCCACATAGATAATGTTTGGAACTGCATAAAAAAAAGAGAGGACAATGTATGGTTGGCCATGTGGTTCTGGTGTCGGCCATTCAAAGGGGTCGGCCATTCAAAGGGACTAGAAGTGTTGTTCTGTGATTTCACAATTTCCTTCTCTTTCAATCTTAAGTAGTCATTAAGGAAAAAAAAAAAGAAATTTCAAATACTGATATAAATAAAGTGAAGATGAATTAATTAGTGGAAAGAGATTCAAAGAAGTAAGTTCCAGTAATTTTAAGACTAATTTTGAAAAAAATATATAAACTATTGACACATTTAATATTGTCAACTAAATTAACAAAAAAATTTATTTTTTATAAAGTTATTAAAGGGGTCCTATGAAACAGACCAAAGGGAGCACAAAGAAGTGTGAAGAAATGAGTTTGAAAAAAAATTCTAAAATTTAAATTGATTATTAGAATTGAATTGTTGTATTGTCTTGCTGCAAAGAAATATTCTTTTATAATTGTTTTTACCAAAATACTTTTTTGAAAAAATCTTCTTAAAAATGAAAGCAAACCATACTAAAATGGTTTAAATAAATAAATATTTTGATCAATCCACATATAAATAAAAACTATAAGAGATAAATAAAAATAGCTTTAAATATATATTTTGTTCTTCAAAATATATTATATTTTGATTTTGATTCCTATAAAATTATTTTTTCTATTTTAGTCTCTATATTTAAATAGAAGAAATTTTTAAAAAGGTGAAAATTTTAAAAATTAATTTTATAAGCATTAAAATTTAATATATTTTGAAACACTGAATCATATTATAACCATTATGAAATAAAAAACTAATGACACTCTTGGGACCCAAAAATTACACTCTTGGGACCCAAAACGTTGCATTAAAGTCGGGTGTAACTGTCAAAGGAAACTGCAAGTGATAATAGATAGATGATCGGATCAACCGTATTACGTAATTTCTTAACCTCTCTTGAACATTGTAATTTGGAAATTTCTGACTCTGCTTCCATATTTTACTGTTCAAATTCTGTAACTTTGTTTAAGTTCCTCTTTTTTCCAATTCCTACATCCAAATTCATTCGAGTGATGTATATAAAAAAGACACAAGAAAAGGTAAAAAAAAGTAAATTTTACTGTATTAATTTTTAACATCTATAATTTCTCTAGCATAAACATGCAGGTAAATTAACTTGAATTAAGAAATTAAGTCTTATATTACTATGATCTAAATATTAATAAAATTTGAAAGGTTTGAATATAAAATTCATCTATATGTTTAAATGCTTTTCTCTTTAGTTTTTGATGTTTTTAATTTTATTTCTTAAATTTTTACAAATTTTTATTTTTGTCTCTGTCAATAAAATAATTCAATAAAAAAATTAATGTGATAAATTTTTATTGAACTATGTTATTAAGATGGATTAAAAAATATATATTTATAAAAAGATAAAGATATGACAAAAAATAAAATAAGTAATTAAATGTCGGAACTATCTTATATTTAATATAATTTAAAATTAACAAATTATTTTAACATTTTGTGTATTCACGTCAGACACTTTATATAATTATAATATCACTACATTTTAATTTGTAGAGTGCATATTCAAATTGAGCTCAAAATAATATTACTCTTTAAAATTAACACATCTAATTTAGTCAAACTTTTATTAAGTTAATTAATTACCTTTTATACCAATTTATCGTAATTGAATTTTCTTGCCACAATTTTATATATATATTCAACCATAAATATGCATATCACTTTTTGCCTCATTTTTTTTCACTTAGAATTTATTTTTATCATCACTCTATATGTTATTTGTTACATTTTTCACTTCTTTTTTTTTTCTTTGTTGTTTTTCATCACTAAATTCACTAGTCTGATGTATATCAAGAAAAAGACACAAACAAAGATAAAAATGTAAATTTTATTATATTAGTTTTTAACATCTATAATTCTTTCGGCACAAATATGTATGATACAAGCATTAGTTTATAATGACCAAATTAACCTGAATTAAGAAATCAAGTCTCATATTACTATGATCTAGATACTAATAAAATTTGAAAGGCTTGAATATAAAATTCATCTACATATTTAAATGATTTTTTCTTTGGTTTCTGATTTTTTTAATCTTATTTCTTAAATTTTTACAAATTTTTATTCTTGTCTCTATCAATAATATAATCCAATAAAAAATTAATGTGATAAATTTTTATTGAACTATTTTAGGAAGACGGATTAAAAAATATATATTTATAAAAAATTAAAAATCAGACAAAAAAATAAAATAAGTAATTAAATGTCGAGACTATTTTATATTTAGGCTAATTTAAAATTGAGTAATATTATTCTAATATTTTGGGTATTCATGTAAGACACCTTATATAACTATAACATCACTACTTTTTAATTTGTAGAGTGCATATCCAAATTGAGTGCAAATAATATTACTCTCTAACATTAACACATTTAATTTAGTCAAACTTTTATCAAGTTAATTAATTACCTTTTATACAAATTTATTGTAATTAAATTTTCTTATCATAATTATATATATATATATATAAATATATATTCAACCATATATATACGTCACTTTTTACCTCATTTTTTTACTTAGAATTTATTTTTATCATCACTCTATGTTATTTGTCATATTTTTCACTTCTCTTTCTTTCTATGCTATTTTTCATCACTAAATACACTAGATGTTTTTTTTTATAGGCAAAACAAATCTTATTAAAAAGAGTTCAAGGGGAACTCAAAACCCATATACACAAAAAATTACTTACTCAAAGAAATAAAAAGCAAAAATATACTTATGCAAAATTAAGACAGATGCAATTTCGTGGGTTCAAATACCAATCAGCTAACATAATAGCTTCTCCCTTACCAACAAGTGATAACCATTTCCAGGATCTCAGAATAATAGAATCTAGGACTTCCCTCTCATCCAAAACACCATTGGAAAATATAATTCTATTTCTATGCAACCACAAAGACCACACTGTACTTACCCAAATAATTAATAAGCATATTCCTTCTCTTTTACTACAGCAAACACCAACCCAAGAAAGCAAATGAGTCGATAAATCTGAAGGCAAAACCAATGAGAATCTAAGCCAACGCGTAGTAAAGTACCAGATTTGAGATGAAACTGAGCACGTTAAAAATAAATGAGTTGGAAGTTCCTCCAAACCATGACAGAAACAACAAGTTATATCATCAATTTGAACATCACGGTCAATCAATAAACCTTTACAACGAAGTGCATTCAACAACAATTGCCAAGAAAAAACCAGACACTTAAGAGGGACCTTCCCTCTCTATAGCCTTTGCAAGGCATCTGCCGTACACTGATCTACACTATTAGGACCACCAAAAAGTTCAAATAGCCATGAATACGCAGATTGCACTAAATAACAACCTGAAGAATCTGCCCTCCATACCCATTTATCTTCTTGTAGTAACTTAACAGAAACTCCATCCACAAGCTCCAACAAAAGATTAAAGCTCGAGATCTCATGTTGAAAAAGTCCTCTTCGCCAACTAACATTCCAAACCCATCTAGTGCCATCATGAAAACCATTCTCCAATACACGTGATTCAGCATTTCTCGCCACTGCAAATAATCGCGGAAATGCTTCACACAATCGCACCCCTCCTACCCACTTATCTCTCCAAAAAAGACACAAGTAAAGATAAAAAAATATAAATTTTATTATATCAGTCTTTAATTCCTTCAACACAAATATGCATGACACAAGCATTAGAATATAATGACTAAATAAACCTGAATTAAGAAATCAAGTCCCATATTACTGTGATTTAGATACTAATAAATTTTGAAAGGTTTGAATATAAAATTCATCTACATGTTTAAATGTTTTTTCTTTGGTTTATGATTTTTTTAATCTTATTTCTTAAATTTTTACAAATTTTTATTCTTGTCCC